ATATATATATATACATATTGTATATATGAAAAAAAATCTTTCGGGCTGAAGCCCCCCCAAAAAATTAAATCCTGAATCCGCTAGTGCACTTACCTTAAATGTGTCAATACTTACAAGGCTTCAGTGCTCGAACCATGGTCAGTAAGAGAAAATATTACAAATTTTTATAAGTGGATTATATAAATTATTTTTAGTTTGTACAACTTTTTACATATTTCATTTTTAATATTGTGTATTTTAAGAATAGATAAGATTCATGTAGCATCAAATCACTATAGTTTATTATTTACCATTATGGGTCGTATAATATAATATCTCTGATTATATTAAACATTTTCAGCCCTGATGATGACCCATAGGGTTGAAACGTCGGCACAAATAAAAAAAATGATAATGACTACGTCCTGAATATTCATCACCCATTTTGTTTTTTATATTTTTAGTACATCACCTCTCCCCCTCCAATTTCAAAATCAAAAGTATGCGCTTGTGGTTATCTCATGAGTGGTTACCAAAATTTTGAGAAAAACGTCATAACGAATGTTACTGTCTTTTCATTTACGGGCTTTCGGGCTGAAGCCCCCCTCCCAAAAAAACGGAAAAATATAACCATGTTTTATAGAAAAAAATATCAAAAACTATCTCTTAAAGTATTATTGTTCGTGTAATTACATTTGATAGGACTTCAAGAATCACTTAAACACCATTTCAAATAGGTAGTTAATTTCTTTATTTTTTTTTCAAATTAATTATCGATATATATTTGAAAAAAAAAAAACTTTCGGGCTGAAGCCCCCCCCCCCAAAAATTAAATCCTGGATCCGCTAGTGCAGAGCTTAAATGCCCAATGTTCATACACATCTTCCTCTAAAGTACCTTGCATATGGTTTATTTTAAAAAAATAACTCTCTTATAAATAAAAATGGCTAAATATTGAAAGAATATGATAATTGGAAACTGGAGAAAAAAAAAAAAAAAATGCTTATCCAGGTTGAAAATGAATCTCCGGAAATAACAGTTAGAAGGAATACGTATAATATATCGTTGGAAAGCGGATAATTTTAGAAAAAAACAATATCTAATTTAGAAAGTTGTAGAAGGTAACGGAGAATGGCAAAAAATTATATATAATAATTTTTGAAATATAATAGTACAACGTAAATCACATGTTTCCAAGAAAATTAAATGAAATTTTCTTACTGAATGTAAACTTTTAAATTTGTTTCTAAGTTTGTAAAGAAAAGTATTTATAATCCACCGAATCAAGCCAATGCCATTGTTTAAAATACTATTCCATTGTAAAGAAGAAGTGAAATATAAAAATATTTTCATGGATATTTTTATAACCTCAACTATATTTACTATAGAGTATTAACTCTAGATGATATATTATATTTAAATAATTAGATATCTATTGGCCGTTTATTCCAAAAAATCATTCAGTAACGTTTTAGAAAATTAAATTAGTGAATAATTTGATTAATTTTTCCTATGTGAAATTCCAACATTATCCGCTTACAATTAGTATGACAACTTTTGTCCTATCCATGACAGGCAACGAAAATCTCGTAATTTCATTTTAGTAAACTTTACAATTGAAAATAACAGTTTAATAACTAACTGTCCTGCAATCGATAATCATTTATAGGTAAAATATTCAGATGTACTTTCAAATCTGTCTGGGCATATTATGAGCCGTGCGATTGACAGAATGACTAACTCCAATTTCAAGATTCTTTATTATTAATTTTAGTGATGTTTATAGCAGCAAAATTTATACCTTTATTCTTAGTTCTATATTTCAACACTGCAATCACCACCTCTGGAATCAACTTACTCATTGTCTGTATAGATATAATTCTTCCAACTAGAAATATCACTAAAATGACCTTACAAAAAAAGGGCAGTTTCCCTCCATGTTGTATATGTCATGTTACTTATTTTATAGTTAAATAATGTTAGTTTTCTGAAATTATTATTTGTATTTTTTTCATTCTTCGTTACTTTCTACAACTTTATTTATTTGATATTATTATTTTTTAAATCCTTCGCTTTCCAACGATATATTATACGTATACCTTCTGACTGTTATTTCCGGAGATTCATTTTCAACCTGGATAAGTATTTTTCTTTTTTTCTCCAGTTTCCAATTCTGATATTCTTTCAAATTTCATATTTAGCCATTTTTTATAGTTGCTGTCAGTAAAAGAGAGTTCATTTTTTTAAGATAAACCATATTAAAGGCACTTTAGAGGATTTTTTTTTTTTTTTTTTTCTTACCCTCCAAAATGTTTATTGAAACAATTACATATATAGTATACAATAATACAATATATACATGCAATAAATTCCTCCCACTGCCCGAGGGCATTTTTTTTTTTTTTTTTTTTGAGGGGAAGACGTATATGAACATTGGGCATTTAAGCCATGTAAAGTGATTTCAATGGGAATAAGAACAAAATGATATTAATGACCACTTAATTATACAATGACATACCGAGTTTAATCAAAAGCGTTTTTGAGAAAATTGTAAAAATGTGTTTCACCGTTGATATAAAGTGGCACTTCCGTTTAGCGGATTTTAAGGGAAACGTTGCTGTAACATCTAAGGCATATACCTATTTTAAATACGTAATAACAATTTTGTACGACTTTTCGTTTTTGAGCTATAATTACCATATACACACACACAGATCATTTTGCTGGACTTGGTTATTTGGTTTTATTGGTTTTTTAATTAAATTTTCACGATCGCAATACTTACCCTTACTATATATTTCATATATAGGTAAGTGAAAGTAAAAAAGATTATTTCTCCATTTTGGAGGAGGGAGCTAGAAAGGCTTCTGTTGCAACCCTCCAGCGCTGCTTAAAAAGTCGTTTTATATGTTTAATATATTATTTTAGTAAAATGTCAGAAATATATTATACTTTTTTTATATTTAAATAATTCTATATATTATTTCTAAAAGTTGTTTTTTGGTCGGTACGCCATAACTTCGTCAATTATTGATCAAATCCAATGATTGACCACTCATTTTGAAGATATTCTTGTCGTTCACATGAGGAAAGTAGTCCTATCCTCCAGAAATTTCTGGGAAAACAGTTATGAAGGAAAAGAAACTTTATTCGCGAGTAACTCAAAAAGTATGCATTTTTTTTCTTGATTGTACCCATGATAATCAGAAAGATTACTAAATAATAAAACAAAAATCGACAATTATTGACAAAGATACAGTCCATTAGTTTTGTTATACTTAATAATGTCTTCCTGTTTAAATATATTGCATTTAGGAGTAGAATAGTCTACTACACTTTTTTTTCTGGCTGATATATTAATTTTATTATTACTTAAAAACATTTGGTTGTTCTTACATTTTATTTTATTTTTTATTTCTTAAAGGCACAACCGGATCCAAAATTTCATTAGGGAGGGGGGAGGCTTCAGCCCGAAACCTTTTTTTTTATATATATAACAATAACTATAATTATTCTGAAAAAAAAAGATACCATCTAGATATATGAAATGGTGTTTATGTGATTCTTGAAGTTCTATTAAATGTAATTACACGAACAATAATACTTTAAGAGATATTTTTTAAATATATTTTTACCATAAAACATGGTTATATTTTACCACTTTTTTTGGAGGGAGAGGAGAGGGGCTTCAGCCCGAAAGCCCCCCATAGATGCGCCTGTGTTTAAAGGTATTTGTTTGTTCTTACATTTTATTTTTTTTAATAATTTAGAAAATCCCATGATCGGGGCATTATTTGGTTTTATTATCTTAACAGTAAGCGTTTAAAAATAGGTTCTAGCAAAGCAATTTGTACAAATATTTTGGTTTATTATGCTAAATGGAATATTGTAATCGACCAAGGAAAAAATATTAATACCTTCCTCACATAATACATAGGATCTACTTATTTTCATATTGTTTTACAACATTTTCTGGGAATTATTCACACGGGCCAACTAGTTTTTAAGTATTTTATCATCATTATTTATTTATGTTTTTTGATAAGGAAAAAGTTTTAAACGAGGTTCTTTTTGTATCCGAGAGTTCGTTTATTAGTGGCAACACTGCCCTGTACTTAGTTGCAGTAGGAAATTCCTATAGAAATCATGAGAAAATAAATCAGCACTAAAAAATTAATGTCTCAAAAGTAGGCCGAAACGTAGTCGGGATGATATTTCTGATCTTTTATAACCTAATAAAGGACTAGATTCGCTAATATTGATCATTCTTTATTGGAACACGTCTGAATTTATTGCGGCGCCTACTGTCTTACTGTGCCTTATTTCCATTATCGATTCTTTTCTCTTTAATCCTAATTTAAACTCACGATTTAATGAAGTTATAAAATCATTTAAGGAGAATAATAATTAAAAATTTAATTGATAATTGTAAATATTGCGTACATTTCGTAAATAATAAATATAGAATATAAAAAATACCAACAGTGAATGTGATAGCTCGGAAGTGTTCGGCAAACTACAAATTAAATTTGTTCGAGGAAACTTTTAACGTTTTAATTTGAAATAATCCTTCATTGAGATGCAAGTAAGACCTTGAAAAACTAGAATCGTCTGGTAAATAGATTGGTCGCCGATTTTAAAGTCGGGATTATCAGCAATGGTGAATTTTGTTGTTCACCTGTGAATGGGCTATTTTCCTTATCTGTGTCGTTAAATGTAAATTGTCATTTCACGTTGTAAAGAAATTATAACGTTGTTCCAACAAGACAGATATTTTAACTGATAGAAATATAGAAGTTTGAATCTCGAGTAGAATTTTACTGTTGCATTTTTTTTTTTTTTTCATTTAACTATTAGTTCGAAACTATTGGCAAAGACTATAAAGTTAATCTTTTTATGAAGTCAAACTCCTCTTTTTGTATGTAACGTAGCAAGAAACTAGTTATAAATATTCTACAAGGTACTTGTTTTTGTTGAAATAATTTGGAGAGTGGGGGGAGTCGGAGGTGGGGAGTAACCCAAGAAATCGAAACCTCCTCCGTGATGTGTTTGATAGGGAGTTGAATTGTGCTGTCTTCTCTCAAATGTAAAATGTATTTTAACAGATTATCGACTGCGGTTTTATTATGACACCTAACGGGTTGTATAAGTGTTGTGATGAGAAAATATAAGCCAAAGGAACTTGACATCTTTGTTTCCTAGGTTTACATCAATCAGGACATACTACAATTATGAATTGTCATCAAATTTTAAGTGGTGCTTGCAATGCTGGTGATCACTGTTTTGCAGTGGGAAGCGTTGAAGGGATTCCCTTTACTGTAAGTTCATCCAAGGAAAAAATTAGGTTAAGTTTTGTCAAGATAAAATCCATTAGAACTAGGTTACATACAATCTATCAATAAATTGATTCTTATATTACCTCCTAATGTGTCATACATTATTCTCACACTTATTTGTTTTGTTTTTTCTAATTTATATAACAACTGGAATTATATTAAAAGAGTACAAGTAAAAAAATCAGTACTTTATTTTGCCTTATTCAGTTGTCCTCATCGATAATTTTGTTCTTTTTTATACATTGATGAGTAACTTCATTTGAAACTTGATTGTTGTGCGGCTTATCACTCTGATCATATCTACATAACATTTATAATTCGTTTCTCAAAGATAATACTGTTTACTTTTTCTGTATGAACTGTTTGTCAACCCAGCTCTTATGTAATAGTTAAACATTTTAGTACAAGCTTAATTAATTAATTAATATTTTTAATTGGCAAAGTTGTTATCAGTATCATGGTTTTGTTTTGCTGCAAATTCATTCATATATATATTTTTTTATAAAGCTTTCATTCTATACAGAATTCTGGAAGCATACATTTCATATTTTTATTGGGATACAACTATAACTTTTAGTCTTCCAAAATGAATTGAAATATTTCTAGATTAATAGGGCATATTTGCTATTGTTTTCTCTTCAGAGAGACCTTGAAAACAATCCATTGTTTAGAGAATATTAGTTTTTTAAGTTTTTAAATCATCTAATATCTTTCATGAATTCTGACTTTGGCTAGGGATTTGATTTAAAATTAGAAGTATGCTAAAAAAGAAAATCTAAACCAACCACTTTCTGATTATATAGTACATGCACTACTAACTTTTTAAGTATTTAATGACTTTCTTTTACATTTCAAAATGAATAATTCTTAAAATAATCATAATTAATAATAGTAATATAAACTAAAGTTAAATGGTTCAACTTTTACTTCTGTGTACAATATATGTAACTCTCATGGGATGTTTACTGATATGTCATTAACTAAATATGTTTAATTGGTCTCCTTCCTTCAGAATCTTTAATTGATTTTAGTTGTGCACCATTTCATACACTTACTAGATAATTATTTTTCCCATTTAATATTGTGTTTTAACTATTTTAAATTATCAGTAAATTTAGTTTCAAAAAATTTCAAATAGAATTCAATTTTTTTTTTTTTAATATCATTAATAATATTTGTGTTTTTAATATTAATATCATTGTAAAAAAATTAAAACTTTATTTGAAATATAAAAGTTGAAATTAGAATTTAGATGAGTTTAATTCAGACTTTATGATTGATTCAAAGTATTGATTGTTCTTTATAGTGTTCTAAGAAATCAAATTAAAATAGCTGTTTATGGTATTTTGGAAGTTTACATTTTTAAATCTCTTTCGTACTTTGTCATAATTAAAAGATTTTAATGCTTTTAAATTTTTCATTTAGATAATTTTGTAAAACCTATGACAAATGATGAGTTTACCATGATTCCAGCTACCAATATTTAAATAATATTTATTTCTAAGGTGAATGTTCTACAAATATTATATATATTCTTAATATATATTCTTGTAGAATAAATAACATATTTAAACATGCTGTAATTCAAATTATTAAATAAATCAGATTCTCAAATCTTTAAACCTACTTTTGGTTTGATTGAAATTAAGGAGTATTACAACTACATTTTCAGTTTTTTTATTTATCTTATTAATATTTTTTAAAATGTGCTGAAAACACACACATAATCCGTATTATTGTTTTTTTTAGTTTATAAAAATATTTCGGGTTCAATATTATTGTTAATCAACTAACATTAATTCTATAATTCTTTTAAAATAGTCAAAAACAAAAGTTCACCATTCTAACAATTTTTATTTTCAAGGTGTTTCGGCTCTCAGGCCCTCAGTCGATTCTAGAATGGTCCCAATAGAATTAATTGTATAATGAAGTTCAATAAAAAATTTCAAAAGTAATTATGAAGTAATCAAAATTAATTTTTCATATCTTAATCAATAAAGATTTGGCTTAATTAAAAATAAATGAAACTTTATGCCAAAGACTACTGATGTGTATACCTTATTTATACTTCTAATATATTTATATTTCCTGTTATTCGCATTAATGAAAATAAATTATATTATGAAATACAATTATTTTTATTACATTATCAATTGTATTAAATTAATCAATTTAATGCGTTACTAAATTGCATTATCAATAAATATATATAAAGTACTAAAAACTCATAAATACTGATTTGCTATCTGCTTGAATCATAAGATAATTTGATAACAGAATAAAAAAATAAAAAAAGATATGGCCTACAAAAATATTAGGCCATTTGGCCTGTATAATCTTGTTATTTTGATGTTATCAATTTTGTGATCAAATTATCTTACAATCCAAGTGGAAAGCAAAGGGGTGTTCATGAGTTTTTAGCACCTAATTAAATGGACAAAGTTTACTGATCTCCAGATTAGAACACTCCAATCTCAAGCATTTTTGTAAATAAAAAAGTTGTTGGTGACAATGGGCCACTGCCGTTTTAACCTTCTTGGAGGATTATAGGGATGGGTGGTGCTGGATAGGGATTGTACAAGAGGATTCGGATGATAGGTTAGGTTCTGATGAAAGTTGGTGAATTTTTCAGGGATAAGATCTAGGACAAATGGGATATCAAGGTCATGGTGTAGGGTTTTGTTGGTTACATAGAAAAGAGCATTGACTATTGTTCGAAGGACTTTAGACTGAAAGGATTGGACGCGTTTGATGTTAGAAAATTTTGCTATCTCCCACAGTTCTAGTCCATAAGCCCAAATAGGTTTCAGTATTGCCTTGTAGATCAGTATTTTGTTTTCAATAGAAAGTTAAGATTTTCTATTTAGTAGTCTATATAGTTGGCCGGTTAAGTTTCTGTCTTTCAAGTCTAGCATGAGGATTCCACTTTAGTCATCTTTCTAACAGAAAGCCAAGATATCGGACTGTGTCTGAGAAAGGAAGCTGGATGGAATTATATGTTGGCATTTGGATTCATTTACTTTAATGCGCCATTTATTACACCAGTGCTCAATCGGAGAAAGGTGTCTTTGAAGGTTTAAGGATGCTATATCAGGATCTGAGTCGGATGATAGAATGGCGGTGTCATCAGCAAATGTTGCCAGGAAGGTATTGGGATGGACAGGGATATCGGCGGTAAGAGGATGTAAAGGACAGGAGCCAAAATGCTACCTGGAGGAACATGAGCTTCAATTGGATAGCAATTGGAAAATTCAGAGCCATAACAAACTCGAAATATGTAATCAGAGAGGTAGGAGTGGAGGACGAGGTATAAAGATTGAGCAGATGGGTTTTTAGTTAGAAAAGAAGCCTGGTGTGCCATATCCGGTCAAAAGATTGAGCTATGTCATGAAATGCATCCGAGCAATATTGCTTGCTTTCCAGGGCTGCGGAAATATGATCGACCACTCGAAGTCCTTGTTGGACTGTGGAGTGTTGGGAACGAAATCCGAATTGATCTGAAGGAAGATTTTTAGATTCTATAAAAGGTAGGATTCGTTTCAGGAGGATCGTTTCAAGGATTTTTTTAAATAATTGGAAGTAGGCTAATGGATCTGTACGAAGTTGAGCTGTTGAAAGGTCTGCCTGATTTTGGAAATTGGACAATAGTAGAATGTTTCCATAAAAAAAAGATGAGAATACTATGTGGGGTGGGAGGTGGGGGGGGAGTGGGGGGGTGTGGGGTGGGGTTGTTTGTGGTGGGGGGGGGGTGGGGGGTGGGGTGTGGGGGGTTGGTGGGGTGTGGGGTGGGGGGTGATGGGGGGTGGGTGTGGGGGTGGGTGGGGGGGGGTTGGGGTGTGGGGTGTTGGGTGGGTGGGGGGGGGTTGGGGGTGGGGTGTGGGTGTGGTGTTGTGGGGGGGTTGGGGGTGGGGGGGGGTGGGTGTTGTGGGTTTTGGGTGGTTTTGGGGGGGGGTTGGGGGGGGGGTGGTGGGGAGGGTGTGGGGGGGGTGTGGGGTGTATGGGGGGTAGTGTGGTGGGGTTTGTGGTTGGGGGTGGGTGGTGGTGGGGGGGTGGGGGTGAGGGGTTTGGGGTTGGGGATGGTGGTGTGGTGGTTTGGTGGGTGGTGGGGTTGGTGGGGTGAGGTTTGTATTGGAGGGTTGTGTGGGGGTGTATGGGGTTGGGTTAGGTTTGTTGGGGTTAGTAGTTAGTGGGGGGGTATGTGATGGGGAATATTGTGGATGGAGGGGACCTAAACCACTGTGGATGAAAAAATCAAGGATATTGGGATTGTGATTAGGATCTGTGGACCAATAGGTAGGTAAGTTAGGAAGAAGGAGACTGAAACATTGGGAAATGAGTGCAGATAGCAATGTTCTACCATGAGAATTCGTCGTTCTAGAACCCCATTGTTGATGCTTGGCATTTAAATCTGCACCCAGGAAGAAGTGATGTCCTAAGGAGTTGAGAAGTGAATTGAACTGGACATTGGATATGGATCTGTTAGGAGGGCAATATGCTGATGCTATGTTGACGGGAAAGGAGAAGGTTTTGATTACAATGACGGTGGATTGTAGAAAATCTTTAGTTGGTAATGAGAGAAGGTGATGAGAAAGGGAGTGGTGTACAATAACAGCAGTATCGGCATGTGCTCTACCGTCAGGATATTCAGTACGGTATGTTATGTATTGAGGTATTTTCAAAAGCTGTTTTATGGTCAGTCGAGTTTCCGTAATCAGTGCTACGTCGATGTTTATGTCCAGTAGTAAAGATGTTAGTTCGTCAACATGATTTCTATCACCATTCGTATTCCAAAGGAGAATGGATATGGGTTTCGGAATGTGAGTCATTTAAGGATTTTTTAAAGGAGGAATGAGGTGAGATACAAGATTTGTGAGGGGTGATATGAGTGTCTTCTATAATTAGGTTCATTCTTGATTTATCGGAAATATAATTGATTTCAAGTTATGGTACAAGCATATTGATATATTTTAACTTATCACATTTCTTTAATACTGAGGTTCATTATTGGATTCTCAAAAGAGTTTTTTATGAAAATACGATAGAATTTTAGATTTTTTCAATATAAGGATCCATTATTATATAATCAAAGGCATTTTTTAGCAGGATCGTAATAAAATGGGCTGAGAGAATAGTCGGAGAATACCAATGTGGTTTTACACTAGGTTGGTCTACCACTGATCATATATTGTCAGTAAAGCAAATGCTGGAGAAATCAAATGAGTGTAATATAACTCTACACCATGTATTTATCGATCTCAAACAGGCCTACGATATTATTGTCACAGAGAATATGTACAAATACCTGCATTCTTTAGTATCCTCAGAAAACTTATTGAACTTATCCTCATGACTAAATTAATACATCTTGTAAGGTCAAGATCGGACGGATATGCTCTAAAGGTTTTAAGATAGAGAAAGGATAGCGCCAGATATCCCACTGTCTGTTTTGCTCTTCAACAGTGTATTAGAGTCAGCTATTCGTAAAATAAGAACAAATCCAGGTCGTACCATTTTCAACCGACTGACACATCTGTCTTTTGTGAATGACGTGGTAATCTCAGCAAGAACACTTCAAGCTTTATCAGGTGTCCTGGAGGAGTTCCTGGGAACTGCAAGCGAACTTGGGCTTGAGATTAATGTTCTGAAGACAATGTTTAAGCGTACGTCAAAAAGGTGAAGAGCAGATAATTCAACTGGGTGACTACGAATTACAATGTTGTCCATTATTCAGGTATCTCGGTAGCTTGATAACCATCTATGATTTGACAGAAGCCGATATAAAAGCCAGAATCGCTGCTAGGAACAACTGCCCATGAGGTTTGCAGAAAGCCCTTAAGTTCAAGAACCTCCAAAGAAAGACAAAGATCTTAATAATAATAATATAACCTCGGAAGATCACTTTATATTGTTGGGATACTTCCTAAATAAATAAGAGGTTATTAAATAATAAAGAAAATTATAAGAGTATTAATATATTAAATTGAAATTTATAATTACTTTTTGATTTTAAATTAAAGTAAATTATAGATTGGCAAGCTAACCTTTTTTCTATAGATACTATGTCTTCCTTTGTTGCTCTAAATTCATTTGCCTTCAAATGCTTTCCTATGTTCTGCCAAACACAACTTCCAAAATGGTGACACTTTCTTCTATTCAACTCAAGCTCCTGGGAGATCCTCTCTCTTGTAGTTATAAACAACTAGTCTCTCTGCCAAATAACAACTTCCAAGATGGTAATAGTATTACTGGGTTTTACCCACTGGAGCCAGGATCCCTTCTCCCATCCTCTCTTCACCCCAGTTAAACACCAACTGCTTGCCAAAACAAAATCCTTTGTCCCATCCTCTCTTTGGTATTTTCCTTTTTGGGAAAACTGCAGAGCAGCTATTTTCTTTTCCCTGAACTAGTGAAACTAGATTAGCTTGTTTTTTAACTTAATTTGTTAAATCATTTTTAACAACTTCCAATTAAGGTGTATATTACAACATATTCTGTTGTTCTATACCTTGTAAGGTTCCATTTTGTGAACGTTGTAAATATTTCCTAAGTTAAATGTATAGAAAAATTATTATAATTTTTATAGCTATGTAGAAATAGAAAAATAACTATATTCTGGGACACAGTCCCTTGAGAATAACAAATTAGAACAAATTTAAAATATTACATCTGGCCAAAACAAAATAAATCGAAAAAAAGAAATAATGTAAAAAAAATATAAGGTAAAAACTCTATGTACAAAACAAACTAAACTATATACAAAACCATTAATACTATGACAAGAAACTTAAAGCTATTTAGACCAGTATACACTTTTCCGAAAAAAATAAAGAATTAAAAAATAAAAATATATCAAATTCTCTATTAAAATCCGCTCGAATGGTTAGCAAGTATCTGACTGTTTTTGTGATAGGAATTGGAATAGGAGGGATTTGAATGTGGATATGGAGGGGGAATGTCGAATTTTGATAGGGAGGGAATTCCAGAAATTGACAGAGCGAACAATAAAGGAATTTTGGAATGAGGCAGATCTGTGAGAAGGCATGTAAAGGTCAGAAGGTCGAGATCTTGTGGACAGGGAATGGACTGAGGATTTGAACTGGAGAAGCTTGTAGGCGTAAGAAGGACGATGGTTGTTGATGATTTGGTAGAGGAACGTACCTAGAAAGTATTGTCTTCGGAAGGAGGGGTAGAGCCACCTTAACTCAGTGTAGTGGTGAGAGACATGGGAGTACCTCGGGGCACCAATAACAAATCTTACGCAGCTATTCATTAATCTTTTCAGTCTATCACGGAGCTCCACCGAGAGGCCATCATACACCACACAGCTGTAGTCAAAGTGGGGGAAGATGAGAGAGGAAATTAGGAGTCTACGGATATGTTGAGGTAGGAGATGGCGGAAGCGATGAAATAGTTTAAGGGTAGAGATTGTCCGACGGGAAATGTGAGAAATATGGTTGGTCCAGGAGAGGGTTTGATCTATGAAAAATCCTAATGTACATATTCTGATAATTATATTTTCTGTGAATAAAAATGTAAAAGCATATTACTTATTTCATTAAAACCTATTCAAGTAAATGGTTTATAAGAACTTTTATTAATGAGGTTTAAAAATAAATGTTAATAAAATAACTGTTTTGAAATGACATAAAAGTAAAAGTTAAATTGTTACTTTTAATTATTAGAGTTAATTGTTTCATTCGACCCTTCCTCTGGATGATGCCAATTTGTTCTTCTTTCGGTTAAGAATGTTTAGGTATATTCCGTCTAAGATAAGTTTGCCTGTAGAGGAAGGTACCTTGTGCAGCCTTTCCTCTCTGAAGTTCCGCCTCTCTTCCTCACTCTAGAAATCACCTCAGAACGGAAACGCGTTTTTCGATGTTCGATTTTCTTTAAAATTCTAATTTTGTAAAATAAATGAAAAAAAAAATAGTAAAAGAAATTTCAACTTTTTTTATTAAAATAAAAAAAATTGTACAATTATCTACGAATCAGTGAAGACAAAAGAATGGAGGATTGGCAGGAAAACGTTTTGTCACTGTGAATCTCTGTCCCCTCTACCCATCAGCAAGCTTATCTTAGATGGACCCTTCCACGAGGAGAATGCATACTTCAAGATGCCTAGCACCAATCCATAGAACTGAGTCCATTTAGGGCGACTGTCATCCTGCTTGCTACTGCATCAACAGTGAAAGTTCAGCCAGGTATGTGGATGTAGTTGCATTTCTCAAGACAGGGAGGACAGCATTGATCTTGGATCCAACTGTCCATTTTGAGAGCAATGACCTCGATCAAACAGGTGAAGTGGAAAAGAACAACATGTATGATAAATGTATACCATTCCTAAAAGAGAAATTCATCGAGACCTTCGGAGAGAGAGAGAGAGTTCACCGTGAGAGGCCTCTGGTTTGGGTCTCATAGAATGATCCGAAAAAGAACAAGGAGCTTCCTCGAGGAACTAGCTGTTGATGTTGGGAAGCTTGCGATATTGGCCAAGAATATTATTTTAGAGTACCTGGGAATCATCCACTATCACTTGTATAGTAATTGACCGTGAATTGAGGATGTCTTTTGTCTTGTATCCATTTATTTATTCAATTTTAATTTTTTAGCTTTGTCTTATCTTTTTATCTATATTCATGGAATTGTATGTGTGTGTGAGTGAGTCTTGTATTATGTAATGGTAATTGTTTAATGTAGTGAAATAGTGATATTGTATATGACTAGTATTATAAAAAGAAAGGAAAAAAAATAATATGTTTATATAATAATGGAATAATGTAATGTAAGAGTTATGTCCATATGGATTGATTAGTATGCTGTTTATAAAGTAACCATATGTAGTTGGGTAGCACTGCTTTCAATAAAGTATTTTTCTCTCTTTTACTCCTTTTCCTCGCCTTTTATGCTATACAGGTTTTCCACATAGGGGATTAATGCCAGAGTAAAAAGCCATTCCCCAGGCAACTTGGACTTATTTTATCAAATTATTTTCTATCAGGTTGGCGGGTGCTGTGCGCACTCATTAGCCCGCTTGGACCAACACACTCCCTGATCACGCCTTGGACCTGTATCCTCTCCTTGGAAAGATTGCTTGGGTTTTGACAGCGATACCCATTACAGGACAATTTAAATCAATCATATTATATTTGAAAAACTCTAATTTGTATTTACGATAAATGTGAAAAAGTACTACAAAGTTCATGAGGTGATTCATAATTATCGTCATTGGCAACAATATTGACTAAAAATTATTTTGTAGGTAATTAGTCAAAGTCTTAATCCTAAATTAAAAAATGGACCAATGTTTCTCCTAAGGAAACAATTAATTATATAATGATGAAGAGATGGTGGATGCTATTTTCTCCTTTGTTTTCTATTTTTATTCATACTTATTTTCTATTTTTATTTGTATCTTCCATATATATATATATATAAGACTTGATATTTTAACTACATTGTCACGCACTATATCTCTGATGTCATCTTATTATTTCTTTATCAGACAACTGTTTCTTATTTAATATCTACTTATAATTCATTTATTTTATTTTCACCATGTACCTTTTATAGCCCTGATGAAGACCTGCAAGGTGGGTCGAAATATCGGCGAAATAATTAAAAATACTATTTTTAAAATTTAGTATTTATTTAACTTATTAAGTAATGGAAACAATTTTGGAATTTTTCGAATGGTATGTTATTTACTAATAAAATTTGCCTTTTTTTTTTTTTTTAAAGGCTTATGCAGCAGGATGCAACATAGTTATTCTTGCTAGTACATTCGAGCGAGTACAGATTATTCCAGGAGCAATCCATAACTACGTTCGAATCAGTTGCGTTGACTGTTCGACTGATACCGGAAAGATAGCTGCTGCTTATGAAAACCAAGTGTGCATCTTCGAGCCTACACCTCTAATACATAACAACAGTGCCCATGTAAGTTTATTGAATTATGTTTTCACTTATAGTTTGATCTGAGCTTACGACTCTGAAAAGTAATTTCTATAACTTATTTAACTTCTAGTCGGAAAATTAAAGTCTGTTCAATTCACCAATTTTATAATTACATCTCAAGATAAATTTTATATTACAAAATTTTATCTTAAGTGTCTAATGATAAGTGAGAGTCGTTGTACTGGTTTAACAAGAACTTAAATTTGATATAAAACTCATTAGTCTACAAGGCTCGATAAAGAAGTTCTATTTTTTTATTAAACCGTGAAATTCTTAAAATTCAAAGTTATGTGAAAAAAATTAAAATAATTTAGACGGATCAGCCTTAATTCAATCCTCCCACTTTCGCTTCAGTCTACCCCTTGGACATTTACCAGTCGGCGCAGCAAATATTAACCTATTAGGTATTCTTTCATTATTAAGCCTAACAATTTTATATGCTTATTTTATCTGTCACAATGTAATCATTTCAATTATATTCAATTTGGTCTGAATATTTTCCGCAATAGTTTATTTTCAAAAACCTTAAGACATTACTTAATGTAACATTTCACGTTTTGCATCCATAAAGAACTGTAGATAGGATAATGGTTTTGTGAAATCTAATTTTTAATTTTTGTGACATGAAATTATTGACTTATTTTATTTTTTTATTTTAGCAATTAGATTATCGATGGGTGGAAACAGGTTCATGGGAAACCGAATCTCATATTACTGCATTATCATGGAATTTAGAAGGAACGAGACTATTGACAGGTGGAGACGTTCTTCAATTATGGCACCAAAACACACCAGGCCACCTTCTCGATGATGACAATGAAGGTATGTTTGTTTGCATTATATTTATAAAGAAGGGATATAGTCAAGAAACTGCATTCTATTATTTAAGAACTCGTGTGGTACGATTTCATCTTTAATATTGGGATGAGATAAAAGTAATTAATTTCTTTTTTCATGTTTTTCAATACGAATTTATTTATATAAATTTCAAACACTAACCAATGATATATTTGCCGTTTTGATTGATGACCTTTGAATGATCTTAAAAACTGAACCAAGAGATTTTCACAATCCTCTTTCGATGCCAGCTGTATACCATTAAGAACTTTCTGCAGAGATCGATACAAATGGTATTCTGACAGGGCAAGGTTCGGATTATATGGTGGATGAATCAAAACTTCCTAGCCAAGCTCTCTCAATCTTTGCCGGGTTATTAAAGATGTTTGTGGTCTAGCATTGTGTATGGAAGACAACGCCTTTCCTATTGATCAATTCTGGCAGTTTTTCTTGAATCACCTTCTTCTATCTCATTAATTGTTCACAGTAGAGAGTTGAATTAATGGCTTGGCCAGGTTCGAGCAGCTCATGATGGACAATTCCTTTCCAATCCCAACAAGCATTCAATATCATCTTCCTTGGCATCAATCTGGACTTTGACCACGATCTTTTTCACACCTTGTTGTTGTACATGATCCACTTTTCATCATCCATAATCATTTGTTTCATTTTAGCAGCAATTCACAAATGGAAACTTGATACATTAAATTTTTCACTCTTAATTTTTTAAAACTGTTTTCTGATCAAGGTTTAGTTCTGTAACGATGTCGCATTGATTGGCCCTCCAGTGTGAGGTTCATCTTTAACATCAAAATTTCCGGAACGAAAACGAGCAAACCAATTTTGATACTAGCAATAGCTTAAGCACTCATCACTATAAACATCATATAATTTTCGATGAGCCTGTGCTGCATTTTTTCTTTTTTGGAAGTAAAACAGTAAAATATAACAAAAATGAATGAAAAACTATTGAATAAATGAATGATGCTATTTTTATGTATATAATCTTCTATGAACTTTGACCTTTCAAACACACTTTGGAATGGTTTCATTGAATAATGATTACGAGAGATAAGAGAATTTAATGTCTGCTATTGGTTTAAACAAGATTACTTTTTCCTCAACCCGATATATTAATGTTTACTGTTGCCTTTATCTGAAAATGTGTGCATTTATTAAATTTAATTTCTGTGTTTTACTTATTAAAAATATGTTTTACTTCTTGTTATAACTGTCAGATTGTGTCAATCTTTGTCACAAAATTAAAACACTTATCTACATCACTTGATTGAAGGTTTACGTTATCTGTGTTTCCTTTATACACTTGTCATCATTTGTCAATTTCCTTTTATTTATTTATTTTATGTACAAGTGACCCTTAAGATTTTTCAGCAAATCCTACTTCGCCGGTCAATATCCTCTTAGAAATTATGTCAGTTTGTAATTTATGATTTGGTATTTCATTCTCTCATATAAAAAAAAAAAAAAAAAAAAAAAAAAAAAAAAAAAAAAAAAAAAAAAAAAAAAAAAAATGAAATACACAAGTATTTTATATAAGCTAGTCAAATACACGGGCGGATCTACGGGGGTGGGGGGGCTTTCGGGCTGCCCCAAAATGATAAAATATAGCCATGTTTTATCGAAATTTTTTTTTAAAAAGTATCTCTTAAAGTATTATTGTTTGCGTAACTACATTTAAAGGGGCCTTAGGAATCACTTAAGCACCATTTCATACAGGTAGTTAGTATCTTTGATCTTTTCCAAAGTAATTATTGTTATTTTTATGAAAAAACCGCTTTCGGGCTGAAGCCCCCCCCAAAACTAAATCCTGGATCCGCTAGTGGTCAAATATGGGGATATATTACTAGTATAAAAAGGCCAAAAGGTTTTCTATATTCAAAAGGCTTGTCTTGGTACCAATTACAGAGAAAATACTGTACATATTAGTTCTTTTTTTTTTCTCCAACTATTCAGAAGTATTTTTGAATATGCGGAAATAGTTATAATACATTTCTAGGTAAAAATTAGTTCAATTATAATGTCTTTTTATTAATTAAGCATTCTCTAACCGACATTTCGGATATCTCCTCCTTTATCAAGGTTCCATTCTAAGCAAAAATACATCTATTTAACCATTATTATTATCAAATAAAAAAAAATTATATGTTATTTAATTATAAGGACTAGATGTTTTTATATGGATTGTAGTCTTGGGATAAATTATAAACTATGTGCAACAATTATTAAAGATAATAGGTAAAAGTGTATTGAAAACATATAATAATAATACTTTATTTATAATGTGGGTTGTAATTTTTTAATTTATATTTATTAATTAAACCATCAAATTCCTCTCATATCCAATCCTTACAATCCAAAATCATTCGTAAAATCCTCAGGGCTCCTTACTTGGTCACAAATAAAATCATCCATAATGACCTTAATGTTCCATATGTTTCCGATTTAGCCCAATCCAGGTACCTATCCTTCCATAACAAACTTCAGAACCATCTGAACCCTCTTGTTTCAAATCTTGCTTCTTCCTCTGATAACCCTCCGAGGCGTCTGAAAAGAAGGTGGCTTCGTGATCTTCTTATGTAAATTTATTATTTGAGTGCTACCAGTGGCTAGTTTCTCAACAAGAGATTTCGTGTTATTATATTCCTGAGTGCACATTTAGTAGGTGTATTTTTTTTTTTTTTTTTTTTTATAATACAGTTGTAAATATCAATGAATAAAAAAAAAAAAATATTAATTGATATTATTAATGGTTAAATTGTTGTATTGTATTCCTAGAATGAAACCCTGTTGATGGAGATCTCCGAAATGTCAGTTTGTAAACATTTTATTTATAAAAATAAATTAAACTGGAAGTAATTTTCACTTTATAATTATTGATATCTAAGAAAATATTTTATTGGTTATATTTATGTTATAAAGTGGGCCAGTTTATATAAATATACATTTTCTTTCTAAACAAAAAAAAATAATTAATATGACTTATAAATAATTGATGAAATCATAGATGAGCTCATAATCAATGATCATGATTACAGTAATTATGATTTTGTGGTTACCATTACATTGATTTTGATTAGATAATTACATGATTATGACGTTTGTAATCAGGTAATCATGCTACATTTTTGCTATATTTATAGCTATTGAATCAAGTATAAAATTAAGTTTTATTTTCAGTTGTTATCATTAATTCAAATTTTGTCCATATCTGGATTAAACCAATATTTCTCACATATTGTGTTTAAATATTTGATAAAATGAGATGGCTTGTAGACTTTTTTTGTTGTATTATTTTGGAAAAAAGTTCGATTTTTGATAATCAAATTGTATAATCACTGTAATTTGGTGTGAGTCTAATATTAACCATTGATCTCTAAGTGTGTGATTTTGGGTTGGTTCATGTTCCAATTGGTTTAGACCGTATGGAGGTTGGATCACTGAAATTAAATATTTATGGAACAACAAATGATTATATTTTAGATAATGGATACAAACAAAAATAAAATTTGTGCTCTTGATATAATTTTGATAATTTTAGAAATAAGGGTAAAATTGCTGATGAAAGGAAAAAAAAATCCAATGTTGTAATTTGGCATTTTGGGGTTGGAAGTAAGTAATTTTACTTTTGAAAAAAAATTGTATTATACTGAATGTGGACTCACTTAGTGTTTAAAAATTATTTTGATTTCTTGGTCTCCTCTTCTTCTCCCACCAGGCTGTTTGACTTGACTTTAGAAAATCGTGTTTCTTTAATAATGTCCGGTAAAAAAAAAAATCAATAAATGAGTTTTCACTATTTACTACTGCCTAGGCTTAACTGTGCAGGAATAATTGACTTCAAAATGGAGGCAAAGCTCAGAATTATATGTAAATGTTTTTTTCATTTTTTAGTGTTCCAGGAGTTGATTACTGGACACAAATTTTTTATATTGATATTTATATTTTGGTTGGTATTGGTTAGACAATAATATACTATCAATAAATACCATAAAAAATATACTATACAAATATATACTATCTTAAATCTCTTATTTATTTATTTTCTTATTAAATTAGGAATGACCTCAAGTGGCGTGACCTTCGAGATTGGTGAAGAAGCATGTAGTAGCCTCAGCGGCGATGGGGGAAAACCCCCCGAGGAGGAGAAGGGATGGGAATGCGTATGGAGCTGCAGGACTTCTTCACCCGTAATACACATGGCCTTCTCTCCCGATGGAACCCTTTTCGCCACTGCTTCGCACAACGATCGGCTGGTTAAAATTTGGTTTGAAAATAAGCAATGTGAGTGTTATTATAATTTGTATTTAATTTTGTAAAATTTAAGCTAATATCTTTCTATTTTCGAGACGACAATAGTCCCTCATTAATACATTAATTAAACTTGTTGGAATATTGAATCCTCTAATTCGTGTTGACAAAATTTTATTTAAGATGTACAAGTTCAATTTAACCAGTCGCCTAAACTTTTCTCTATATATTGTAATGATAATATAAATTTTGTTTGAAATATTGTTTTCTCCTGGCTCCCATTGGAACAAATGCCAGGAAATTTGTCCAATATTTTTCGATGTTGTATCACTGAAAAAAATGTAGTCGAAATCGGTGACTGTAGCCTCCCCTCGTAAAGGGATATTAAAACAACTAGTTCCGTTTAAAACCCAGATTTGAATGTTTTCATATATGTAATACCTTTTCTTACTATATATTTCATATGTTACACCTGCATAATTGTGTAAGCAAAGATCTGGCTCAGTTCTTGTCTGGCCTTCCAACCATTTTCCTGATGATGGCCCACATGTTTAGGACAAAACATTGGCCAACGTAATAAACATAATTTTGTTATTGCACATCCTGACCATCTTACAATTTTTCATCCTTACAATTTCAACAGTCAACTATATACTCATCTATAAAATTATTAAACATTTGTTCTAAATATTTAGTTTATTATTATTTTAATTTTTATTTCTAGTGTTATTTCCATCGAAGAGTGCTGATCAACAATCTATCTCTTTCGGACATCCCTCTGCACACGAACTTAATTATGGATTTGTTTACATTTCACATCCAAGAGCAGTGACTCAACTGTCTTGGAGAAAGACAAGCAAATATATGCCAAAGTATGTATTTATATATTTATAAAATTATTTTTAACGGAGTTAAAGGTTAAATCTTACAACCACTAACGGATCCAGGATTTAATTTTGAGGGGGCTTCAGCCCGGAAGCTTTTTTTTTCATACATATGATGATAATTAATTTGAAAAGAAAAGAGAAAGAAATGAACTACCTATATGAAATAGTGTTTAAGTGATTCTTGAAGTCCTATTAAATGTAATTAAACGAGCAATAATACTTTAAGACATAATTTTTTAATATTTTTTACCATCAAACATGGTTACATTGTACCGTTTTGGGGGGGGGGGTTCAGCCTAAAAGCCCTCTCCCTCCCCGTAAATCCACTTGTGCTTACAACTAACAAATCATTAAGAACATTAAAACAACAAAAACCCTATTTATTATATCGATGGTAGGTAATAAAAACCTTGTGACTCCATCTGTAAACCACCTAACTTCAGTCTGTGAGCTATATACGCTTAGAGAGATTTGAAAGTACATCTGTATATTTCGTCGGCACAATATTAAAGTAACGAATGTGAAACAGACAGGTCAACATTCGTTACTTTAACGTGGTGCCGATGATTAAACCAATAAATGATTATGGATTACACTACTATAAGTTCTTGAACTTTTATTTTTCCATTGTAAAGTTTACAAAATGGTGTTATGAGATTTTCATTGCTTATTATCGATAGGTCAAACGTTACCAAACTAATTGCAAGTGGGTATTTTGTGATTTCACAGTACATGTATTTTTCTTGATTGTAGCCATGATTATTTGAAAGATTACTGTAGTCTCTAAAAAAAAAAAATATCAAAATCAATCCATTATTGGCAGATATACAGCCTGTAGTATTGTACACATATTTTAGTTTTTTTATTATTATGAATAAACTAAAATGATTCAACTGAGAAAAAGAAAATTATTTTTTCTATCTCATAATATATTGTATTAATTTATTTATATATTATATTGTCAATTGTTCATTGACCAATAGACACGCTCAGGCCAACTAACATAAAATTAATAGTAAAAATATAAGTAGAGGATTGGGGGTAACAGGGGCAAAACCCTCGCAGCGATCGATAAAACTGGCATCACTATACTGAGGCCCCTTTACGCCAATAGGCTTGAAGAGGAAGAAAATGAAGAAGAAGAAGAAACATATAAGTATAAACATTAAAATTTAAAAATAGATAGAGTGAAAAAAAAATGGTGAAAGTCGATGGTTATGTTAAATAGATGAAAAAAGATTCAATATTTTCTAAGAGGATTGTCTGGCTAGGGAAAAACAAAATTAAAAAAGATATTTGATTGCAATTTAAATTCGATTGGGAAAAGAAGAACCAAACATTTTGAGAGAATTAAAAACTTCTGGAAGAAACGGTAACAAACCATATTAAATGATGTTTAAGTGGTCCTTAAAGGACTGAAAAAAAAAATGATATCAAAAAGAATATAATAAATATTCTTATATCATTTATTACTCAGTATACAATAATAGAGATTCAACCATCATTCAATGTTCAAATTAATATCAATAAACATATTGTCTTATTATTTTAATGATGTTTTAATCAATTCAAACTGAACCTCACTGAATAAAAAAAAACATTAAATAAATAAAAATATTTCCATCCAACCAAACATATTCAAGCAAGGAATTTTACAAAGATTAATTTTAAAAATAAAACCCTTTTTTATACAAGATACAATTAACGTTATCTTTACATAGCTCTGAGTCATTTATCACTTGTTAAATATTAATTTAACAACACACACCGTTCCGATTAGCAAATTAGATAATTACTGATAGTTAATCTCCGTTGGATAACGACTGGTATTAAACCTAACGAGTTCAAAAGTGGGTCACCCCGCATGGGTCATTTGTCTGTGTCTGATCCTTAAATAAGAGCGATGATCTAAATTAATTTAAAAAAAAATATTAAAACTGCTAAGGAACCACATTTTATTAGCAAATAATAATTGCATTGTATTAACAAAATTTTATATTCTGTATTACGCATATGAGCTGTGAACCGCAGTTTGCAGAATTTAGAACTATATAAATACAGCATATGGTCCTTGGTACTTAGCCCTTTTTATCAATTTATTAACATCTGCCTAAAACTTCGTGAATGGCTTTGTCATATCATAACCTACAAAATTTGTATCTATGAAAATTCTCAGAAACCTAGAAAACCAGGGTGTTTTCTTATTAAATTATTTTATTTAATTAGGTAACCAAAACTCATAGATGCTCATTGGCTTTCCACTTGCACGATTCCAATTGTAAGACAATTTGATCATAAAATGAAAAGATAAAAAAAGGGTGGCCTACAAAAATATTGTGACATTTGGCCTATATAACCTCATTATGTTGACATATTGGGCGTGAAGATCACGCCGAATGGCTCAATATTTTTGTAGGCTACCCTTATTTATGTTTTTGTGATCATCTTTTTTTATGATTCGAATGGGGTACCGCAGTGGTCGAGCGAGTTAAGATGCCTGCAACAATTTTATATCAAGTGTTCAAATCCCATTTGTGGAAATTAATAACACAAAAAAAAATTTGATTATAAATTAAAATTAATAAGTACTACTTAGACCACTAATTTCCGCATGGAGACGGTAATGTCTCCATCCTGAGATTCATAGGGAAGTAAGCAATCCCCGTGTCTTACACCATAGCTCCTGGTCCTCCAGGTTGAGGGTTGGGTATAGGGCTGGTAATCCCATATTCCATAAAAAAAAAAAAAACTGAGTGGAAAATTGAAGTAAAAGATTGCCAACATTCTTCAGGAAAGTTCCTCATGAAGAGATAGTGAAATATGATCGCCTCCGGTTATTAAACCATATTCTCCTTGGATATCTCGAAGAAGAGAGAACCAAACGATCACTACTGTTGCCTATAACAGCCCCAAACTGCTGCAGAAGACTGATGACTTAAAAAGTCGAAGTCAACAGTCGTAGAAACAAAAAATGATTCGAGTGGAAAACAAATGGGTGGGTGTTCGTGAGTTTTTAGTACCTAACTAAATAGACAAAGCTTGCCGACTACCAGATTGAAAACACTCCAATTCCAAGAATTTTCATAAATAAAAAAGTTGTAGGTTATGATGAGAAGAAGCTATTTGTAAAGTTTTAGGCAGATGTTAATAATTTGATACAAAGGAATTTCTACCATGAACTAATACCTTCGGTAATTAAAACAAAGATGATTCATATTTGCAAAAAATTTAGATCTTCAAAATAATAACAATTTAAACTAACTTCATGAAGAGCTTATTGGTATTCGTGCTGGTGGGGAAAATAGTTCGGTCAGTGGGCCAGACGGTCCGTTTTGCTAACCCCTGATGGCTATCTTGAGGTTCCTGCCGTTTACTTACCAGAGTTGGAAGGTCAAAGTTCATTTAACGGGGCCGCCGAGAAATAAAAATTAACCGACCCAGGTGGGTAATCAAACCCACAACGTTCAGAACTGGACACTCTAGGACCCACTCCCAAACTTGCTAGGCCATCCCGTCATTCATAAAGAGCTAGTGAAAAAAAAAAAATCTGGTGTGAGCATCACACTGCTTTTATCACCCTCTTGGCAGAAATAAGTATTTTCAGACAAAGGGGAAGTGAAAGTAAAAATTATAGACGCTATATTTATTTTATATTTCAATGAGGGTATTTTTATTTGCTTAAATACCCTTATATACAATGACTTTTAAAGACAGTAAAAGGCAGTAAAATCAAATATATAAAATAATACTATTTCATCATCGTCATGTTCATTTCCTGAACACACCACAGCTTCACGTAAGCAAATCAAAAAATGATAATATCTATAATTGTGGGTAAATGGTTGACTGTTGTGAATAATGAAGAGAAGAATAGTTGGGGTGATCAGTCAAGTAAGAAGGCAAAAAGAAATGATAATATTTATTTTGACATTTGCCGACGTTTCGACCTGAAGTTCAGGCCTTCATCAGTGCTAAGAAAATAACCAGATAACAAGGTATGAGAAACATGAGTAATGTAGGTAAAAAAAAAAAATTAAAGTAAAATGAAGTTGGTAGAATAATGGCAATAGTAAGAACTAAGAGATAAATAATAATAACCGTTATAAAGTGTGGAATGACGAAGTAAACATAATAAAAAAAGGTGACGTAAGTATTAAAATGGGAATCTTAGAATAAAATGTAAAACAGAAAAAAAGGAATATGAAGGTATATAAGAAACGAAAAAGGATAGTTAGATAGATAATTAAGATCTTGCTAATAGAATAATATTTATAAAGGAAGGTGATGGTCCGGGTTGGCGGTCATAAATAGGCTAAATAGTTTTACCACTATTTAGCCTATTTATGACTGCCACCCAGGACAATCTCCTTCCTTTTAATGCAACGGTCAACTATTAAATATTCGATAATATTTATATATAGATGTATTTTTATGAATAATTTGTTGTTACATAACCTTTATAAATTTACAATAATCCAGTATTCCCAATACAAGCTTCACACTCCAATTCAAAAAAGTCAAATGAAACTTTTAAAGTACAGTGAAGAGTATACTTTTGGACCGTTTACACTCTACCAAAGATAGCACACTTTCTAGAGTTTTTGTAAAACCACTTTTTTCTTCTTCTTCTTTTTATAATAGATTTTTATTTAAAAAATAATTAATAATATGTTTTCAGGGGCTCTGTATCAAATATGCTGGTTACCTCATGCCGTGACAACATTTGTCGAATATGGGTCGAAACAGTATTACCAGATGATGGGTTGGTTAACATGCAGCAGTTTGATCCATTAGCAGCTCAGAATCCTAAATTCAGAACACATAGACATAAACATCGTTTTATGCAGCGACTCAAGCACATGAAGTAAGTTTGTCTTGAATTAAATGTATATTTTTTTATTACCTTCATAATTTTACCATTATTGCTATGAATTAAAGAATGATTATTAAATAAATTTACTTTTTTATGGCTAAATATTCATGAAATAGAATTTTATCATTAACTACAGGATAAATAATTGTCAGTCATAGATGGACGAGAAATCGGATCAACCAAGAGCCATCCGACTTTTCCCAATTTCTCTAAATTTAAACTACTTCCATCAATACATGCTTTCCAGGCTGAAAAAAAATTACACTAAATTTTTAGGATCTACTAATATATTCATATCTACATTATCAATGATATTAACTCCTTTTTTTTTTTCAACCTTTTTTATGGTAGATATTTTTTATTATGTTTAGAATTTTTCCAAAAGACTGATTTTTACATTTTAATAATTTCAACATTGTTCTTTTATTTAATATTCACGTATTTCCTTTAATATTTTTCACCCACCTCATAATTTTTATTTTTACTTTCTTACATTGTATATATGTATATATATATGCATATGTATAGAATATTTCTACTACTGCAGATAGGATGGAAAATGAAAGTTGTGCGATGTGTCATAAAACCAGGTTTTAAATTTTTTTTCTGGAAAAAATATTAGTTTTAATGTTGACATATCAATATATATTCGATATTGTTCTAATATCGCTATTTATTACATGAAGATATATTTTTTTAATTTTAATTTTTCACAAAATGTGATTTTATAACTATTAGGGTTTTTCCTAGTAACCTCTCACATGTGTATTAACTGTTTTTATGATATTGCATTTTAATCTTCTTTGTTGTATGCTTTACTTTATGTGCATCGGTGTTGTTTGTATGTTATAATTTTTGTATATTTTAGATTTTATTTATTTTTTTTTTGTTTAGTAAGTAAATAATTTCAAGTGTCCAGAGTATATATTCATCTCTATCGAGACCGTCTTTTAGCAATGCTTTCAATCCAGTCTTGGCAAGTAGTTTGTTGGGCGTCACTTTGCATTGGATTTTTTTGACAAAGAGAGAAAGTGTAAATTGCCCTTATGAACGTAGGGCGCACACTATCATGCAGTTTCTATTTTATTTTCAGATGGCAATTCTGGAATTTTCTTCAGTTGCTTGAGAATGCGGGGACTCCTCTTTTCGGGATTGTCGGGCTCTGGAGTTACTCACAGTATTGTATAGATAACATTAATCAACCGCTCTCGCTGTAGATCCAGTCTGTGCTCAGCAGCTTTTTTATTTATTTATTTTATTTTTTTAATTATTTTTTATTATTTAACATTACATCAGGATTACTGCATTATTGATGGCCGTATTTATGAACACCACATTACCGAGGGTTATATTGAAATCCACAGGTATTATTTGTAATTGTTCTTAAGGAAGGTTCCGTATGAACAATTTATTAGACTTTATTTGTAATTACACATATTTATCAAAAATTTTGTTTCTTAATCTAACCTTTTTATGATTTACGTTGTTAAAATAGTCATAGTTCTTTAAAAATTCATTTACATTAGACTAATACTTTAATGCTCAGTTCAATGCCTACCGCAGTGTTAAGGTGGCCTCAATTGTAAAATTCAAAGGAATGCATTAAACATTAACTGCCATGGTACTTTTTACGATTTTGGTATAAAATAAAAATTTAATTCAATGTTATTATATTTTCTAATTGTGTTGGAAGAAGAGTGCCTCAAGACGAAAACAGGGGAATTTCACCGAAGAAGTGTTTGAAATTTGCATATTCAGGTTTATCGCTGCCCCTGGCTCGTTTTAAATCATCAAACCGAACATTTTCTCAATCAATAATGCCTACCTTTTTTGTTAAAAAAAAAATTAATCTTTTTTTTTGATAATTTTAATATAATTATGGAATTAAATTTTAGTAAATTTTCATTTAAAAAAACTAGAATAAATTATTATTGCAGTAAATATGAAAATTAAAATTCTGACATTTTTCTCTAAAGAAATGTAGGGTTTTCATAAAATAAAATACATTATTACTACAGTAATTACTCAAATTAAAAATCTGGAAAATTTTCCCTAAAAAAATATTGGTTGATAAAAGACATTTAAGACCTCCAAAAAAAAAAAAAAAAATGAAAATGTTAGTATTACGTCACTCATTCTCAAACCTTATGATATAGTAATAATAAAAATAAGCAAGTAAGCAAGTCAACTTACTGTTCACCAGTCCCCTGTCAAGGAGGACACACAATACTGCTGAACAGGATTAGATGTGAAGGAGTACTAGCTATGCACTCTGACACTCTAATCCGAGAATATCAGGACCGAAAATATAAGGTTGGGATAGATAGCAGCAGAAGACATAAACCAAATAGTGGAATAAATTGCTATACAGATGGCTCTCTAACAGCCTTCGGCTCTGGAGCAGGCATCTATCGCAAAGATATAAAAGAAAAAATTTCTATACCACTTGGCAGGTATGCTTCAGTGTTTCAATCTGAAATACTGGCAATCTGTCACTGTGCACAAAACCTACTGCAAACCAATGTGACTGAGAAAAAGATTACCATCTATACTGACAGTCAGGCAGCAATAGGTGCTCTCGACAACTATTATGTTTATTCAAAGGTCGTTAAGGAATGCAATAGAGCACTTAATGAGCTAACTGAGCACAACAGAGTTGCAGTGGAGTGGGTGCCAGGTCACTCTGGCATACCAGGCAACGAGGTGGCTGACGAGCTAGCCATATTGGGCTCAGATACCATTCCTGTAACTCCCGGACCTGTCTGTGGAATCAGCCTCAGTACTGCCAAGGGCAGGATCAGGAAGATCTATGGGAACAAATTTAGGAATTACTGGACCGACAAGAAACAGAGACATTCGAAGCTGTTCCTAGAAGGTACATGTAAAAAAAGAAGTAAACAGCTACTGAACATGGACAGAGCAGCCCTTAAAAAGCTTACAGCTATCTATACTGCTCACTGTAAGCTAAATAATCATATGTTCAATCTCCGAGTAATGCCGAATCCGCTATGCAGATTCTGTCTGGAGCTTTTCACATCATATGCAGATGTGATAGATTTACAAGGCTGAGACTGGTGGTATTTGGGGAGGAACAGATGGATCTCCCCAGAAGGTATGAGTCGGTCAATCCAATCAGCCTACTTAGATATGCGGAAGCGACAGGATTAACGTTTTAAACAAAACCACTAACTGAAATTGGCGCACAATGAACTCAGTAGGGGTCGACGTGCTTATGGCCAACATAATAAAAAAATAAAATAAAAATAACTTAGAATTTCATTGTCCCTGCTAAAATATGGCGTCTAACAAACAACAAAAATTCTCATTATTGGCAAGAATACTAACTGCGTGTTATCTCTTAGTCTGTTGTCAATATGTTAATAACAATGGCTACCTTAGCAAAATAAATCAATCTCATTGGTTAGTATATAAACTGAACATTTTTTAAAGGAATGCTAAATTTCTGTAATTAAAGATAAACGTGTTCTTAAGCAATCTCCTATAGAAATGTTTATAAATAAATAATGCCCTAAATTTATGCATTTAAATATAACCCTTTGTAAAGTGTTACAAATGTTCATAAATAAGGGCCTGAGTCTAAATAAATAAACTGTTATGATTACGGAAATAATGTTTTCAGAAATTCTGGCATGCTAAGGAAGTGATTGTCAAAAAGCAATGATGAACTTTTCAGAGCATGTTGAGTCTATGAAGACGTTTTAAAAAAAAGCGTGATTTGATAATATGAATTGGCAATATTAACTGCATCATGTATGTAAATAATTGTTTTGATTATAATTTAAGTATTCAACATTTTTTGCTAAAGAAAATATGAATCGATACGTTATCTGCGAAAGGGCTTTATCTATGCTGCATGGTTTTTATATTTTATGGTTTCTCGGCTGCAACAATCAACTACAAGTGTATATAAATTGACTTCAAAGGAGAAGCCTCTTAAAAATGCAGGCATACAATTTCTGTTTTGCTTTAGAAATGTTTGCTTTTGTGGTTGGCTACAGTGTATAATATGTTTTGCTTGAAGGAAGTTTATGAATGATGATGGAAGTCGTTGTTTTCTTGCTGATATTTTCATACTTCTAATTTTATATGGTTGTATCACTAAAAGAATAATTTCATCACGATTGACGGAATCAAATGCCAATGTCAAATGAAAATAGGAACAATAAAATATAAACACTGCTTAACGTTACTACGGCCTATGATAATAAAAAGGTTCCCCACCTATGTATTGTATAGATCATTTATAATGAATAGTATACAGCAGCTGTGACCATGTTTCAATTTTTTGTTTTAAAATGTTGCAAATTGCTCCATCAAACAATTTATATATATATATATATATATATATATATATATATATATATATATATATATATATTGTAACGTTCCTCTTTCCCTCCAAAATCAAACAACGAGTTTCCTTTTTCAATATACTATTTATTTTGACATATAATATAAATCTCAGGTTGGGTTCCGACAACTGAACACTCATTCAACATTAAATAACTATAATTTACTAATTACTAAATACATATAAAGAAACTAGATACATACATTAAGAAATTATACATATAAAATTTATTATTGTTTTCAAAAACCTTGATTGTCCCAGTCTAAACTTTGTGGCTCTATCCCTCTGTCAACATAAATGGCATTGTTAGCACTCACCCAAATGTTTACGCCTGTCAGCGAAATAATCTCTTCTTACGAATGTCCCGTTTTCTGTACCACTTAATTCTTTTCTGCTATGTTTTTCTTCCAACATAAAATAATCTCCACTAGTGGCCTCTATCAACACTCGAACCGGCTAGTACTCCTTTTTCACTTTCTCAGCTTGTCACCTTCTCTCTTGACAGCTTGTCACATTCTCTCTTGGCGGCTCATAACCTTCTCTCCTGGCGGCCCGTCACATTCTGAGTTACATGAGGCTTGCTTCCCCCACTTCCTCCCGGTAGTTCGTGCTGTTTTGC